ATAGCAAACTTCCCAAACCTGGAAAGCTGCGTTCAACATCTACATCAGGATTAAACAGCAGCACTTTAGAAATCCTCACTTTTGTTATCGGAGCATCAGCAGAGATACAGAGAGAGAAACTTCACTTACACAAACTCAAAACTCCACTCTCACTCAGGCGCTTCACTGACTGCTCTTCATTCAAGAAAATTAACACAGCTTCATTCAGAGATAGAGAGAGAGAGATGAATAACTGCTCTCACCTTCGCTGTTCTTCATACAGTCATATCGCTGCTGGTGGTGAAATATGTCCACATTTTAAATCAGTTCATATCAGGTTTTTGTCTATAACAGCAGAATAATAAGACCAAGTTTAAACTCTCCACTAATCTCACACACGACTCTCCACTTCAGCGTCCAGAGCGGAAACCACAAATACTTTCAGTTTCCCCTCAATCTGTTCTCTGACCACAAGAGGGCAGCCGCATCTCATTGGAATGAACCTGCTTTCATTCCTTTACTCCTCTTAAACTGAGAGCTTTTATGGCTTTAATGGATGTTTTTTCTTCTTTTTCATTTCTGTTCACTTTTTCTCTTTAGTACAAACCTCAATTACAAACAGAACACCTTTAGTACTTTGTGCTGTAGAGAAATGCAGACAGACACAATAACAGACTGATGTGCACAAAGCAGAATACTGTATACACTGTTATTGATTTGTATAAAACAGAATAGTGTCAATCTGGATGCAGCAGTGAAAGAGAAGTGCTGATTCAGTGAGAATTAAACTAACATACCAACAACAGACTGAGCTCTGAGTCTCCTTCTGCATTTCTGCTGCTGGACTGCAGTGACCACCTTAAAGACTGCACTGAAGAGTCTCAGTTCAGAGATTCATCATCGGCTGCTAAACATTATAGAATATCTCACTCTACTGAGAGCAACACACTCAAACATTTTCAATAATCTCATCACTTCTCATGTCGAAGGAATGTTTGTGAAATGCACTTTCCAATCAGCTGGATACTATGTTGTCATTTTTTTTCTGATTTTTTTTTCATGCATGACTATAACTTTGTCTCTAATTTTCTTACAGTGTGCTTTGGTCCTCATTTGTACCATTGTCCTTCAGATTCATAGTCATTCTTGAATTAAGGGGGTCTTTTATCCAGAAAAGGTGAAATCTTGTAATAATTCACAGGTAAAGACCAACTGTCTTCATGAGATCAGTATCTTTCATCTCTGTAAACTTCCACAGCACAGGGGATGAATACTTATGAAAACAGCATTTTTCAGTCATTTTTCCCACAGAGTATTTTCTTACATAAAACCAGTATCACCTTAAATTAATACATTTTGAGCATCAAGGGTACACAGATGTGTCCTGCGATGGACTAGCAACCTGTCTAGGGTTTTTCCTGCCTTCTGCCCAGTGACCGCTGGGATAGGGTCCAGCATCCCCCGTGGCCCAGGAGAATAAGTGGCTTAGATAGTGATATTCTACTGACTGCTACCTCACTGTACTGACTTCCACTGCACTCTACTCACTACTACCACACTATACTGACTACTACTACACTCTACTGAGTACTACCACACTATACTGCCTGCTACCACACTTTACCCAACCCACAAGAACCAAAACAAAAACACAAGCACATGGCTAAAGAGCACATGGCCACAATACAAGAAAACAGGGAGACAGGGACAGAGGAGACCGTGACAATATGTTCATATTGTTAATTCCTCACCATTCCCATGTATAATATGAATCAGTACCTCATGTGCAATACTCCATGTGAAATTGGGGTAAAATATTCTTACAAGATTTTTTTGTTTTTTTTTATTTATAATTGTTTATATTGTTATTTTTGTGAAGGATAGTTTATATTTTTTATCTTACTTTTTTACCTTAAGTATTATATATTGTCTATATAGTATCGAGTCACAAACTGTAAACCTTGTTAAGTAATTAACAAGGTTAATTACTTGCTTGTTTACTCTCTTCTTGTTCCTTCTTTTCTTGGGTGCCTTGCTATCCCTTTGCTGCTGTAGCATGGTGAATTTCCCTGTTGTGGGACTAATGAAGGATTATCTTATTTTAACTTATCTTATGAAGATGTATTTTAAATAATTTTCCCAGAACATCATTCTGGGAACAAAAACAAAAACTTCCTGCTGAAAACATGAAAAGATCATGTGTGTAATATCCTCAGAACATTTTTAGAACAAAAAAATTCTAGCTGGGTGACTATTACCACACCCTACTAACCTCTACTACACTTTGTTGACTACTACCACACTCTACCAGTTACTACCACACTCTACTGACTTCTACCACACTGTAAGAAATACTAACTTCTACTACACCCTGCTGATTCTACACCCTGTGGGTGAAGCAGGCTAAACGATGACAGCTTAATGTCATAATAATTTTAATTTTGAGACATTCAGGGGGTCAAACACTCTTTCAATAGTTTCAAAATGTAGTGTCCACTCCACAGTTTATACAGTCCATGAAGAAGCTCCAAAAAACTAATTTTGAAAATTTATAATAGTTTATTTAACATTTACAAAAAAATCACCCATTCAGCCTTTATCAGTTTAGCACCACCCCCAGCACCCACTGAGCCTCCATTCATTCCTGTTCATTTACACTGAAGTGATGTGTAGTGTTGTTACTGCAGAGTCTGTAGCAACTTATTAGAGTTAAAACAGTTCAACATTGTGCTGTTCCTCACTGTGGATTATATTAGCCTTCAAAAGGGTCCACACATCTTAAAGGAGTGGATGAAGATTTTTCCCAGACTGCCTGTGGATTTCAGTCCAAATTTAACAGATTCGTCAACATTCCAGCCCAGATTGCTTTCTGAATAAGACACACTACAGGGCAGCCAATCAAAACACTTACATATATCAGTAACATAAAAACTTCTAAGAGATAACAAGAGGTTGGAAAATGATCATACAAAAAGTTCACTGCTTTTGTGACAGTTACTGTCAGACATATATTTCTTGCATTTACATTAACTTACATTTCACTGAAATACAATTCCAGACACCCTGTCTCACAGCCCACAGCTACAACTGAGCATTTCTGTAAGAACAAACTTCATAATAAACAAACTGCATAAAATTCCCATGACTGCAGTTGGTTTCTGTCTTACTGCTATACACTGAAGACATGTAAACAATGTTCATGATCATGACAACTGAACACAAAACAGAACATTTTAGCTCTGATCACATTATACGAATGTACTAGCTGTGCTAACTGCATTTTTATTTTTATCCTTGAGGCTGTAATGTTCAATACAACACAGCAACTCTTACTAGTTAGTAGATCTAGAGGTAAAAAGAGTTACTGGCTTCAGCAGTGTTTGTGTGTTCGCTGATCGTTTTGAGTAACAGGTAAATATGTTATGCATCTGTGGCTCAAGGAAAAGTTTGGCAAAAAATCAAATTTCTACGATTTTCTACAAACCCCAAATGCAGTCACTCAGCCAAGTGACATTTGGTTGCCAAGTTTTGCTTTAGTTTAGAATTTCAGCTGCTAGGCTAACAGTGCTAACACTGAAAGTATACTGTATAATCACCGTAATAATCTGTTTCCACAAATACAAGCAAAAATCTTCATACACTCGCTTCAAATCACATCAATAAGATCCTAAATCCATTTAGGGAAAAAAAAAACGGTAAAGTGTCATCAACACACCTTATTTACACATTTAAGCTAAAAGCGGAGCTACACTTATAGCATTCAGTAGCGTCTTAGTCAGAGCGACTTTTTGATCATTTCACAGAGGAAGGCATGTTAGATGTCTTTACCAACGACTCTTATTGCTATAGAGTGAGCTGTTGGGTCGGCAGGCGATTGAACCCCACTGAGGTGTTACTCACTACACTACACCAACCATCATCTGCATAGCGTCCTGCTTTCCATACTACTGCACCTTCAAGCTCGGAGAGGTTAGAGTGCAGGGCCGTGCTGTAAAATGATAGCACGGGAATATCTAAGCGTTGCTTACAGCCAAAGAGCTAGAAGTTGCATATCGAATAACAAAAAAAAACTACCAAAATTAGAAGTTCCATTTTGCCAAAACAGAACAAAGAAATCTAGGCTGGTGGTCTGGGACATTACCACCAATTGTCTTACTTATGTAGACACAAACAAACGGATCCACAAACTAGCAAGAGAGATGTTCAGTAAAGTCACTGTGTAATATCTCAGTGTGTGGGGGTGGTAAAGTCTCCAGTGGGATATTCAAAAATCTACAACAGCACCAGCAACATTTTATGGATGATAACTCAAAGAAGTGAATCCACACTGCAAAAAATATCTTAGCAGGTGTATTTATCTTGAAGCTAGTCAATATAGATAATTTCTCATTATGGGATTGTTGTAAACTTAATGTAAGATTATTTAACTTATTTCTAGATATTTTTAACTAGTTTTAGTGATTTTATTAAGTCAAGTTATTTCACTATATTGACAGATAATGTTGCGTGTTTCAAATGTTTTTCTTACAAAATTTCTTACAAGAATTATATGCCAACAGAGATCATTTGAATTGACTAAAAAGAAAAATAAAGATTTGCAGTGCAAGGTAAGTACTGTTCTTTTTTTCCATCTTCTTTGTGCTCATTGTCATGCCATTTGTATCTAAAGTTGGCTGAAGTTGGCTTCCTATTCTTCAGGGTGGTAGCAGTTTCTCATTAAACACAAGAAATCAGTTAAACATCTTTGCCATAAAATCATCTATTAATACGTGATGTTAGTATTTTTACAACCATCCCAGCTTCTTATTCAAAGTTTCCGTTCTACCTTAAATGGTGCTGCTGTAATATTCTGTGTATATTCAGGTTCAAACATATACGGTTGAGGCACATTTGTGCAAACACCGTACTTAAATTTGTAATGAGACACTGAAATGATTTACTGACTCTCTTACTTTCTACATTACTCTTTAGTGTGTCTGTGTTGTGATTTCTCACTTTGTCTTTGGTCATCTGAAGGTCCACTAAGCCCTGCTGGGTCCAGCCTCCAGTTCGTCCACTAAGAAACACTGTTTCTTTTTAAGAACTTCATAGAATTCTTCTTTTACAGCTTTTCCTCCTGAGTCAAGAACTCTGTACAAGATCCTCATTTGTTTCTGAGATGGTGTTGCAGTTTGTATGTTGCTGTACATTTCAGCAGTGATCATGTTTTTACTGTGCAAATAGTCCACGATCTCCATCACTGAGGAAACTCTCTGAATGAGCTCTATTCTGTGTTCATCCACAAATGCAGCTCCTGTAATAAAGATTAAAGTAATATTAAAATTATCACTAAAGCGTTATTTTTAAAGGAAACCAGTGTTCAATTTAAAGTGTCTACCACAGAGCTTTAGCATAAAAACAATTATATCACCATAACACTGTCCTGCAAAAGAACAAATACAGTGTATTCTGCTATTCAAATATGTTAAAACAATATACGAAGGATATTTAACTTAGAACTGTTAATGAAAAGTTGCACTGAATATTCCTAACTGAGAAAACATGAGCCCCAGTCTTACTGATTGGACTGTTATACGCAAAATTTTAGCCATTAGAATTACATGGCGACATGACTTTCATTTTGTAATTTTAAGATTTAATCATAGACTGAGTGACTCAAAGCAGGGATTCATAACCACAACAGTTTGAATTTTTTTAGATTAGCACAACAAAAACCTGTCATTGCACAAGCAACCACCCCATGAGCCGTCCTTATTTATTACAAGTTTAAGTCTTGATTCAGATGGGCAACTTCACAGTCGTGCATTAAATAGGAACATCATACCTGCTTCCGTTGTAAGAGGGCTTGTCTTTGTAGTATTACCTGAAATATCAAGACAGAAACAAACCCCTGGTGAACACCTGAGATACTATGACTTCAAAGAACTGTACATGAACACCTCCAAACGCTGTTTTATCTGTTGTACATGCAGCAAGAGACCGAGTACTAAAGGCATTGCCAAGGGGTGGCCAGAGGGGGCCAGTACCACCCTAGAATGAGGCAGAGTCACCCTCCTGGCTGGAAATTGAAGGATGGTGTATCCTTGAAGATCTTCAGTGTCCTACAGTCCTTTACGCATAGCAAGTGACGAGATGCTGCAGCACAGAAGTTTGTAATGAAATGTAATGAAGTTTAAATTTTAATTTAATGTTTTTAACAAAGGATTTAAATTTGTTGCATCGTTTACGTTAGTAAGCTGTGAGGTTTCAGCCTGTTCAGATTGTCTCAAATGTGTGTGAGTAAACACAGAGGAGGTGCCTTCCAATACCAGTGCAAGGAAGGTCCCTCCAACTTTGACTGCATGAAACATAGCCATAGAGTGAGAAATCCTCCCTTCTTTCAAATACCAGACAGAAAATAGCCAGAAATTGTCAATAAGACATTTATTAAGCATTAAAAGCTTGTTGCTTTACTAAACACTATAAATATATGCTTGACGCCCGTCTGTGTAGCTGGTCATGGTTGCTCTGCTTTAGCTCACCAGGTTTTTTAGTTGTTAGAAGGATCTGATGAGGTTCCCACACCTCCATGTCATCTTCATCTAAAAGACTCACTGTAACCTCCTCAGCCTGAAGGAACACCACAAACGTGGGGTGATAGTTTGGGCCACAGTCACACTTAAATTTGGCAACCTAGAAAAACAGCAAGATAAAATGTCCGTAAAATGTAAACATTATAGATTTTTCTACTTTCAGGGTGATCACACAGGCTGTACTTTACCTTTGGTTCAGAAACATAGGGGTCACAGAGTGGTCTGTATCTTCTTCCAGGGAGGAGTTCACATGTGGAGCTGGTCTCAAAGTATCTGCTACCCATATGCTTTCCCTCCACCTTTGGTCACAGGAAAGAAAAGTAAGAGATGTGTGATTATATGAGCCAGTTATGAAACTCATCAATAAAAAGATCAAAGCGCAGCCATTGCTATTTTGCACTTTTGCCTCATTGCAAATGCATTTATGAGACTTTTCCTCTCAAAGCACACAATATTTGAACTTGTCCACTAGAAATATACTTTCTTGAAGAGCAATAACTGGTCTTGCGACATAAACTAAATCAAACTTTCGTAAAAAAAAATCATTATTTTGAAACTAAAAGTGAAGGTTTTAATATAACAAGTCAAAATATGGTCAAACAAACACACTTTTTTTTTCTCCTACCCAGCATAAAGGAGCTTCCATTCAAAAATTATATGAGCAAAATGGGCTTATATTACACTGGTTATGAATATGTTATGAGGTTGCTCTTGTTCATTTGCTTGCAAATGCTGAGTTGGTCACCCACTAAGTTGACCTCTCTCGCGAGTGCAAACTGGTCTGTAGACCACTAGCAATTATTGGTAATTAAAGACTGTTTTAGTAAATCTGCTCCTAGTTTTAAAGAGGGCTGCTGGGTAATGCTGTGGTCTTCATGAAGACAACGTTAGAACAAAGTGACACTAACACCTTACCTCTTTAACCGGAACATTCTCTGGCAGTAAATGAATGTGTAGTTTTTTCCTCTTTTGCTCGTCCATCGTTTCTTTATAGAAGAGCAGGACTTGGGCGTTTATGGGACTGGGATATAAAATCATTTTCTTTAGAAGGCCGAAGAGGGAAAGGTCTTGGATGTTAATAATAACATGTGTTTTCGTCACGTTTAGTGGCTGTATGATCTCTGTATTTTCACCAGTAAAATGTGCCACCACAAGCTGGTTTTCCTCTGTAAAAAAAAGAAAAATATATTATAGTTCATTCACAAACAACAAACAGTCTAGCGTGCTCATAAAATTAATGGAGAACTGATTTAAGGTTTGCATGGTTTATAGTGTACTAGGGGCCTCATATAGTTCTCTTAGCACCTCACTAAAATTTGTGCTTGGAGAAATGTACATGGTACAAATACAAATGATGGTCTGGTTTACATTTCAACAGTTTTTCAGGTGAAAAGAACTTAACACCAACTCTGAACAAACTAAATTTGACATACAGTGGCATGCAAAATTTCAGCATCTCTGGTGAAACTTCTTGTAAATTTGAATAGCTAAGCAAGTAAAAGATGACCTGATCTCCAAAAGACAAAGATGACACATTTATATAATATTTTAAGCAAGATTACTTTTTTTATTTCCATTGTTTACTGTTTCAAAATGAAAAAGGAAAAAGACTCAAAGCAAAAGTTTGGGCATCCTGCATGGTCAGTACTTAGTAACAACCCCTATGGCACGTATCATAGCTTGTAAATGCTTTTGTAGCCAGCTAAGAGTCTTTCTTATTTAGGGGATTTTTGCCCAGTCTTTCTTTTAAAAGGCTTCTAGCTTTGTGACATTCTTGGGCCATATTGCATGCACTGCCCTTTGAGGTCTATCCACAGATATTCAATGATGTTTATGTCAGGGGACTGCAAAGCCTATAGCAAAACCTTCAGCTTGCACCTCTGGAGGTAGTCAACTGTGAATTTTGAGGTGTATTTAGGATCATCATCCTTTTGTAAAAGCCATCCTCTTTTTATATTCAATGAAAAGTGGAGGGGGGCAACATGACGTCTACCGTTCCTGTTAAGTGCCATTGCTTAATGACATTACGAACTGAGGAAACAGCGACCTGAAAACACTTTGCTATCTTCTTAAAGCCTTCTTATGTTTTGTGGTCATCAGTTGTTTCATTTTCAGAGTGCTAGGGAGCTGCTTTGAGGAGCCCATGACTGCTGATTGTTGGGACGAGGTTTGAGGAGTCAGAGTATTTATAAAGTTTTGAAATTTGCATCACCTCATCTTTCCTAACAATGACTGTAAACAAACCATAGCTCTACACAGCTAATTAATGTCTGAAATCTTGGCAAAAGTTGCATGTTGCTCCTTTTTTCACTCTAAAATTGTATAAAAATGAGAATAATACACTAATCTTGCTTAAAATGTTGGAAAGGAATGCTGCTTCTTTAATTTGTACCTTTCGGAGATCAGTGTATCTTCTACTCACTTAACTATTCACAGTAACAGAAATTTTGACCGGGGAGCCCATACCTTTGTATGCCAATGTATTTCTACAGACTCTAATGGACAATGTTTTGCTGAATTTCAGTCATCTTGCATACACATTATTTTTTAAACCTAACCACAGAATTTCAAAAATATCAAGTCAGGAATTGGTAAAGGCCATTCCAAACCTTTATTAAAGGCCATTCCAAACGTTTATTAAAGTAGTTCAAGGCTGATTTTGATGAGTGCTTTGGATCACTGTCTTATCCGAGTTCTTTTCATCTTCAGTTTCTTCACTGTTTGTAAGATATTAACTTAAAGGATTTGCTCTTCCCTCTTTCTCCACAACATTTCTTGTGTCACTGGTTGCCACACAATCACGAAGCACAATAGATCCCCCTCATGCTTAGCAGTTGGTAAGGTGTCTTGATTAGCTTCTTCTTTTTCTTCAAACATATTATTGGTTATTGTAGCCAGAGTTTGATTTTTGTTTCATCATTGCACATAATTTGATTCTAAATATCTTGGCATATACGCATGTTGTTTTGATTACTTCAGACATTGACGTTTGTGATAAGATTACAGTTAGGATTTCCTTCTGATGACTATTTAGTACAGATGATGAAGTGACAGGTGTATCACTATTCCAATGCAACCCAAATCATCCTGTAGGTCATTGGCAGTGATGTGGGGGTTTTGCTTTGCATACCTAACCAACCTACAGCAGTTCTGTCAGATAATTTTCTTTGTCTTCCAGATCTTGTCTTGACTTCAACAGTTCTCCTTAATTTCAATTTCTTAATGACATTTCAAACAGTGGAAACTGTAAGCAGGAAGTGTTTAGATATTTTTTATGGTCTTCTCTAGGTTTGTAAGAATGAATTATCTTTAGTTTTAGATCAGTCAGCTGATCAGTGAGCTCTTGCCTGTTGAGTGTAAGCACAACACTCTGAACACTCTTTTGGAAATGTTCACGCCAGACTTGGATTAAAGCCTAATAAGTCAAATAATTCATGAGACCATTAGATTAAATACACTCAAAATTAGGCATACACTATACTTTATGCTTTTTTTCCAATAACTTAAATTTGGCAATTGAGTAATCCATCCATCCATCTTCTAAGCCGCTTATCCTTCTTGATTGTGGAGGGTGCTGGAGCCTATCCCAGCGTTCACTGGGCAGAAGGCAGGAAATACCCTGGACAGGTCGCCAGTCCACCGCAGGGCGCAATTAAGAATTTCCAGAAATTATTTAAGTTTGTTCCATCAGAGGTGGTGTTCACTTCTTTTTTACTTGTAAAATGTGTCATTTGACCAAGAGTGTCAAACCTTCAGTTACATACAATTTATGCAGTTGAATTACTGACGAAGTATTAAATGACTGCAATCTGTGCACCAATAACCTTCTATATAGTTTACGGTCTGCATCATACTTTCTTGTTCTACAAATGGATTATAGTGTTGTATTTTTTACAGGGCCTTAAGCCAAGTTACCAGTATTGTACCACAATGTCTTGTCTAATCGCACCATATGTAGTCTACGTTTTTCTATGTGGTTCTGTAAACAAAGGCCTTTTGTATATGTTGCACTAATGCCTCGGAGGAACGTTATTTTGTTCCACTGTACATGGTTCAATTGTATATGGTTGAGATGATGAAGTTTTTCTTAATCTTGATCTAAAGAATCAGGCTGCTTTCATCGGGAGGCAGAATTACATCACATACATAGACAAATGGGAAACGACATAGAAATTATTAAAGCACTGGAGCAACATAACGCAGCTGTCAGAACAAAAACTTTTTCATTATTTGAAAACGCCTGTTGTCCTTTATATCGTGTGTAAATTTCAGGATGAATGGACCAAAAGAAACGGCCCAAAATTACTCAGGAAAAAGTCTGGTTCCATTGGCTTACATTAAAAGTAAAGCATTTTTTCTGTCTCTTGTAAAGTTATTCATTCAGAGATACAAAGTTTTGTTCCGACAGTAGCGATAAGCAATAATTGATAATCACTGATGTAATAATTGTAACTGTGTTTAACTACAATGTCTGTAAAAATCAGCATTGGTCAAAGTGAAATTTACCATATTGTATCTCACAGTGTGGGAGGTGCAGATGACTCAGTGAACCTTCAAAGCAGTCTACACTGTATAGGGGTCCAGCAGGCTGCATCTGACCTAGACCATCCAAGAAACGGGGGTCCCAGGACTCTATTTTATACAGCACCTCCCCTTTCCACTCCATCTCAAACACAAGGTTGGTCTCGCTGCACTGAAACTGACCAGAATGAGGGCACAGAAACCTAAAATCAAGAGGGGACATATTGAGACAAAAAACATACAAATGCATCTTTCTCAACCTGACTGTGCGTTTTTTGTTTGAATAATGTCATAAATTGAAAATGCATGGTACCTGTACATGTTACTATTCTCAGTCTCTGAACTGTATTCAGCCATTTCAGGAACGAATCCTTCAGCAGTCTTGAACAACTGTGGAAGTGCAGAACAAGACAGAACAGTTCAGAACTCATTGGAAACCACACCAACATATCTTGAAAGACAGTAATTGTTAGGTCATTCTAGTACATACAAACTCCTATTAATATCCATAGACAAAGACTGACAGTAAAATGGATTGTACTGAAGAACTCAGTGACTTTAAACATGACACTTTCATAGGATGTCACTTTTGTGAAGTTTCTGCTCTGCTAGATCTGCACTGACCAACTGTAAGTGCTATTACTGTGAAATGGAAGGGTCTAGTAGCAACAACAGCTCAGCGACAAAGCAGTAGACCACGCAAAGTCACAGAGCAAAGCTGCCGAGTGCTGAAGCATGTAAAAATCATCTATACTCTGTTGCATCAATCACTACAGAGTTCCAAACTGGCTCTGGAAGCAACATCAGCACAAGAACTGTGCATCTGGAGCTTTAAGAAGCGATTTTCTTCAATGGTCAAACAGCTGCAGACAAGTCTAAGATCATTATGCACAATGCCAAGCATCAGCAAGAATGGTAGAAAGTGTGCCACCACTGGACCCTGGAGCAGCAGAAATGAGTTATCTGGAGTCAGGAATCATACTTCACTAAATGGCAGTGTGATAGAATCTGGATTGCCATGGGACCCCTACCTATCAGACTACATGCCCTGCTGAAAATGTGAATGCTACAGCATGTAAAGACATTTTGGACAATTATATACATCCAATTTTATGGCAACAGTCTGGGGTATATCCTTTTACTGTTCCAGCATGACTGTGCCCTGGTGCACAAGCAAGGTCCATAAAGACATGGTTTGACAAAGCTGTTGTCAAGGACCTCGAGCGGCATGCACAGAGCCTGGTTTGGAATGAGATGTTCAACAAGCTATATGATTTATAGGTCATCATATAGGCACAGAGGTCAGGTATCCACATACTATTGGCCATATAGTGTATTATACTGATTGAGTGAAAGCGGGGGATTGGGTGTTTTGTTTTTTTATTGAGGTATGGGGGGACACTATGGGTTATCAAACATTAGTCAGCTATAATCACTTGTACATTTGTGTGTTTAATGATATAGGGGTGTAAAGGCTGTAATAAGACCAGTGCTACATTTATTGTTTATAAGATTGTGTGTTTATAACAAGTGTCAAAATCTCAAGAAGACATTTCAACATAATCAGTCAAAAACTAAAGAAAACAAACCAATTTTTTACATAATTGGTCAACATTTCAAGAAAAAGACATGTTGACATAATCAGACAAAATCAATTTTTTCTACATAATCAGTCAAAATCTTGAGAAAATAAACCATTCTTTTGACCTCATGATGAATGCACCAATAGAAATGCTTCTCAATTGCTTAGAATAAAAACTCTTTCCATTAACTTACATTGAAAGCAAAGAATGTTTTTGGCCTTTACTGTAAAGTTGCTATTTTGGAGATACTTGGAGATTTTTCTTTGGACAGCAATGATATATGTATATAGTGGTATCAGCGAAGAAGAAGAGCAAGCAAGTCCCTTTCAACCACACAATGCACTGCACCACTGCTCCCCAGCCCAGAACAGAACAGCACAACATAGCACAAATAAACATGGGCATGCACTATAACATGCATACAGTACAACTATTTATAAATAAAGTCTCTCTTACTCCATCTGCAGCACTACTCTGTGAGCCCATGTCTGAACAAGCCTAAAGTGGGATGCCAAAATATTTTTCCACTAAGTGGTCACATTCAGATCACGTTTTACATGCAGGATCACATACAATGTTTATGAAGTTTTGTTTAACAAACAGTTTGACAGACAGATAACAGGCTATTAAATTTAATGTACAAAACTGTTCACTGAAAGTGAATATACACCACCACTGGCACAAACATTGCAAATCCTATAGGGCCACCAAAAGAGCATAGTTTTGGTATTAGGATAAAAATACTTATAAATAAAACTTCCTATGGTTATATAACAATGTGTGTGGCTGAAGCACAGTCATGATTATAATGTAAGAGAAAACAAAGACACGATGCACATTAAGAGAGAAAAAAACTTCAGTTATAAATAAAGATTGCTTTGGATTTGTACAGTGACATGTACACCACTGAACAAGTGGCACCACTGAAGTTTCTTTCAACAACAAACACACAAAGTTCCTAAAATGTATAAAATTCATAACACTAATTGAATTATATTTGCATATTTATAAATATTTGCATATTTCATATGGAATTGGCACCTGTGCACTTACATCTTCATCGTAAGGGTGCTGTGCAGATGCTGAGCTAGAATCTTCTACTAGGGAATCAGAGGAGATCACACCGACACCAGAAAGTGCCTTTTCTGTAAAAACAAACAAGCATAAGCACAAATAAGTGTATTTTTTGTATGACATAGGGTTAGAGTACAGTGTACTGTCAGAGCTGAAAAACAATTAATTACATGTATAGTAATTTGTTGTCAGTGTCCAAGGATGGAGAATCAAATTCAAAGAAGCACATAAAGAAACTTGACATAATTTGAAGGAGCACCTGACAGTTTGTTGAGCTTTCTGATAACCATATCTTTAAACCTGTGGTGCCTAACTGTAGTTTGCAGCAAAAGTCTAGTAATCTTACAGTGATTACATCATTGTTAGTATGATCGGTAAAATCCATGAAATCCAGGGTGATCACTTCGACACTGAAGTTGAATATTATAGAATCACTAGATAAATAAATAAAACTAAAATAATCTAACAGTTTTTATTAACATTGCTTACTGTGTTGATTCAATGTCATGTACTTTCTTTTCATTAACTGAGTACATTGCAAAGTAATCTGCTCCAGTCCTGTCTACCATAATTCCAGCAGGGCCCCCCTTGACTTAATAAACGTGGATGTTGCTGCTTTATGAGCCCCTAATGTATTAGCTAAATTTCCACTGACAACTGTAAGGAAAGCCATTCAAAGTGTTTTGATGTAAAAAGGTGCATTGCAGATAAACTTACTGACTGACTCTGATTTCTTTCACAGGGTTCGCAATGTCTCTACAACACAAATATACAACACTACAACAAAACCATGAATAACACAATGGCTTTGATTAAAAATTAAATAATTGAAAAGTGGCCTTTGACTGTTGCAGGGGCTGTAGCTTTTAGAGGCCTTAATGCTTTGGACATCTGGTTCCCTCACACCATTGCGAAAAACACTGATTTCTCTAGAATATGCCACTGAATAATGATGTTTTACACCAAACCTACTTTCTATATTTGTAGTCAAACTGATCCACTGTAAATAAAGGTAATTTGTTACAGATTGTGACATTACTTAATTCAGTACCATCATATGCATAACCATGCCTGTCCAGGCGAGCAGGATAGTTTTGCAAAACAATGCTATTAATTAAAGTAACTGTAAGAGTGAATGTTATCTCGTGATAACTCACCTGAGTAGTTCTTATGTTCACTTGTGGGCATCTTTGAGCCTCCTGTGATTGCAGATCTGGAATGATTTTTAAATTCTGTTTTATTTGTATACCAGTTTATATCACATGATCATTTTTGCTAAGTGCATCCTAATTAGCAGTCATGACATCATCTGTTATGTTACCATTACCTGTAAATGTCATGACACTGTTGTATTAGTGGACACTGTCAGGATAACTCGTGATATGATATCTGCCTGACATTTTGGCATTGTCTCCGTAATGTGTGACACAAAGTGTGTCATTTTCAGGGTTGAATCAAGCTGAGCTCCTTTCAGGTCATGTGAACGGCAAGTAGGAGCTGATCTCTCATGCTATAATTTGACAGAAATTGTTTACGTTTACAGCATTTGGTAGACATTTTATCCCAAACATGATATGGCTTAATACAGTCATATGGAATAGTGCAGTTTGGTTACATGTATGTTTTCAATTCTCCTATTTGTGCTTCTTACACAAGTGACACTGGTGTATAGATCAGCCTTTCAGTATCCTAAATTAATACCGTGGATCATTTTCTGCTGTAATGGTACATTTGAAATAATTCCAGAGCATTACATAGGGGACTGTTTGAAAAGCCAGAAAAAATACTACATAAATCAAATTAAATGACTTGAGTTCGCTAAATAAATGTGTTCATAAACTAGACCTACTTCACGTGAATGAAGACAACATCATAGACAACAAACAAGAAATACTGAACATGTTAGGTCTGATCATCCATTTGTAATTAATTTAACCCATCAAAAAATTATTCACCAAAAATCAAAATTTACAAAACAATGCGGCACCAATGAAAGAAGATAATGTTTGTATTATGTGGAATTCAGCACTGATATTATGGAAATGTGGTTAAAGCTCTTTTTTTTAGTGTCTCTCTTAAAGAAATGGTTCACAGAAAAATCAGGTTTACACTATTTCCCCCTTTACCCAAAACGTTGTAGAACAGCCAAGACATCTTTCCAAGTTTGCTTCCTTGGTTTTATAGTGAAGCCATGAGGATCTGTTTGCTCATGTTTAGCCACTGCAAATGATAAAAGAACAGGAAACAAATGTAATTATATGTAATATAATGTAGCACTGTGTATTCATCATTCTTCAGATCTCTTTGTTTAACTATTAATCAGTGTCTCTGCTCGTCATTAATGATAAAGCACTGACTATTTAAAATTAAATCTACACGTCAATCATCAAACTGTAAATGGGTAAATCGCTTAGTTCCTACAAACAAATTACATTCATATTTTATTATAATACCCACTAGAAAGGGAAAACATAACAGCTAAACAATTATTAAAATGTCATTCCAAAGGGGGTCTTGCCTAATCTGGAAAACAGCACCTAATTTAACCATGTTGTCTTGAAAACTGAAAACAGCTTTTTAGTTAACTCCTGTCAGAACAAACAAGTGACCATGTTTCAGATTCTGTATGTCCAGGTTTCAAAAAACACTTTAAAAGAACACACTCAGCTTTATCAGCCAGTGTAGTTCTAAAAAGTGTCTTTCTTGCTAGCCAGCATGCTGTTGTTTAACAAACACAGTGGGGAGGGGAGCAAACTATCTAGTCGTGCTATTGGTGACACTCTAGTGCTCAGCTTCATAAACCAAACTTTGTTTCCTGTAGGACTGATAAAGCTGCACTGAAGTGTCTGCTTTCAAGAAATGAGAACAGAATTTTTAATTTTTAATATTTTAACCACAAGGTTTATACAATTTTAATGAATTTTTTGCCGGGTGCCAGCAGAGGGCAACAGAGGTGAGTCACTACAGAAGACTCAAAATCCCAGAATACCAAAGGGTAATCAGTCCCAACCAGGCGCACCTGTTGGTGCCGGCATTTAAGGCTGTGGCAGAGAGCACATCCTTGTCACACCTTTGTAAAGGGGTAACCGGTATGGTACTTAGCCCAGGTGGGTATTGCAACAAAAAGAAAGAGAAGAAAAGTGTAAAAAAGAGAAAACAAACAAACAAACAAAGAGGAGAAAACAGAGCACTGTTCTAGGCCAGTTGACAGAGAACAAAAGAGAAAAATGAAAGGAGAAAAAAAACATTGTGTTGATTTAAAACAAGAGAAAGAATAGAAAAGAAATATAAATATAGAAATAACTATATGAAATATAGTCAGCTCCCCATCTTTCCTTTGAGAGGTGTTCTGGTTTGGTCACTTATTCGGTTTCTTGGATTTATCCTTTGTGTTATGCCATTTTTGGCATCTTCTTTGTTTGATTTTCTGAGAAAGAATAACATGTCCTGCTTCCTTTACAACTTAGCATAATTGCATCATCTGTTTAAGATGTTTTTTGTTTTTTTTTCTTTTTTTTTTTTCTTTAATAATTCTTTTTATGCTTCAGGCATCAGTTTCAGAATAAATGTATATTTACCTAAAGCAATGAAGTTGATAAGTTGCAGCATTACATATCTTGTCTTTGTAATGTTTTTTTGTTGAAACACAGGTCAAAAATGTATAAATCTCTGCTTTCTGTTATTTGCATTTCACCTACTGTCCCAACTTTTTGGATTTATAATCATCTGACCTCAATCCAATTAAGCATGTATTTTACTTAGCAAAACTGAGGAAGTTTTTCAAGATTTTTAGAAATGCTGAGGAGCTCCAGTTTAACTTAGTTAAATAGTGATGTTCTGATAACATTTTACATGCAGGATTCATCATATTAAACATACCATGTGTTAAAAATGTTTTTTGTGTTACAAACAGCTTGGCTAACAGGCTAACAGGCTAATCCATTAACACTCAGAGTTAGCCTTTCACTGAAAATATTTTCTGAAGGATTTTCCGTAAAACTGTATGTAAAGTAAACAAATATGTTACATAATTGTCTAACGTTTAAACATCTGGGTTTCAGGTAGAGCCACAAAAAGCAGTATTAAATTGAATGTACACCACTGTTCACTGAAGGTGAATGTACACCACCACTGCCACAAACACTGCAAATCTCATAGGGCTAACAATGGAAATTAGCATTAACATAGTGGTGCTATTTAGCTAAGCAGAGGCTACTAAAACAAATTATCTACAGTTATAACAATATGCATGTGTGATACATGTTCATGATTATAATCGAGAAAAAAGACGTGTTAAATGCAGAAAAAAAAAAGCTTTGTACAAAGTGAAACCATGGTTTAACCAGGTCCCCAAAATGTATAATGTTCATAACTCAACATGTATCTTCATCCTATACACATCATGTTTTTTAACTACAATATTGTGATATAAACTGTAAGTTTTGGTAATTATCATGATAATACATTTTATATTGCCATTTGCCAACTGACCCCTCTGGACTATGGAATTGGCACCAGTTCACTCACATGTTCATCATAAGAGGTCTGTACAGATGCTGAGCTAGAACCTTCAACCAGGGAATGACAAGAACTCACAGAAAGTGACTTCTCTGTTAAACAACAACAACAAAAGTATTTATTATATGATGTATAGGGTTCCAGTATAGCATACTGTTAGTGCTGAGAAATAAATGATTACATGTGTAGTAATTTTCTGTCAGTGTCCAAGGACTCTGTCTTTTTCATCAAAGTCTGTTCTTCATTTTTAGCATTTTTTTTTCTGTTCGTATACACTTTGCTAAGCAGCTACTTCAAACCTTCAAATGTATCCAATATGCTCATCAGTTCTAATAACTATTTCATAGCCAATTACATAGCAAGGAAGTACACATAGCTCACATATAATTCTGAATATGTTACTAGATGCAAACAGTGACAACAATATAACAATGGAAACCCTCAGAAAAGACTGGAATATAAATGGCTTAAACAAAGGAACATTTTCAGCTGCATCCAATGGAAGTGTGCAGCACAAGACAGGAGACTGCATGACCGTGACTCTCTGGTAACAGTTCAGAAGTCACATGTGGACGTTTCGCAATGTAGTCCAAGCAGGAAAGTGACAGAAGTCAGAGAACACAAAGCTCACAAAAGAAGAAGGAGAGAACACAGTTTCACACTCTCACTCACCCACACACAGCATCACAAACATGACTAAAAACTTCAGTCACATCTAAGATTACTGAGATAAATGTGCAGAAAAGTGTTATTTTCTGACTTTCTGATTACTCACCAATCAGCAGAACAGATTCCTTCATTTTCAGTCTTTCTTCTTTTGTCCATTTTCTGTCTCTCTATAGTTGTGAATAAAACTGTGAAGATTTCATGCATGATGTCATACTGTATATGATCAATAACTATTTTTCTGTGTTAAGTAATGAAATACAGGTACTTTGTTACGGTACTTCAGTAATATTTTTAAGCATCTGAAGAGTATTTCTGTCACTGAACACTTTGCTTTTACTCACTACATTTTAAAAGAGAAATCTGTACTTTACACACACTACATTTTCAAAATGGGCTTTTTACTTTAGTTATCTGTTTATATATTTTATCTCTTAATTTCCTTATGTGTTTTAATCGGCTAATTGTATTAGGGCTAGTGGCAGGACAAGTGAGCTATCAACTGGAAGGTTGCAGGTCCAAATCCCACGACTTACTAGGTATACCTGGTTGTGCCCTTAAGCAAGGCACTTTACCCCACTACTGTGCTGCACTGCTGGCGACACTGTCCTGCTCCCAGATTGGGCATAGTTAGGCAGCAAAATGACAAATTTCCATTTGTAGGGCCAGTAAAGTACATAAAATGAGCCAAACTAAAAGAAAAATGCTGCATAATAATAATAATATAATTATCATCACATTATTATTATTATTTCCATTGCTATTATTATATTATATTCAATGTTTTACTTCAAGTAACAAGAATATCTTAATGTCATTATATTTGCCCTATGATATTTACGATTAAAATTGGCTTTGAGTTTTTTGTTGTGTTTTACATCACTAAATAACATTTCAGTTTCAAATATTGTGGTAACACCAAATGGTCCAACAGGGATGCTGAACTTAATAAATTCCTGGTAGGAGCGGACATCGTGCAAGAGAAACAGCCTGACAGAACTGATTCCTCTTATTAACTCCACCCTGCACACACAAAATTATCATCAGTATTATCTTCTCTCTACACTCTCATAACTCAACTCTGAATACAGAACACTGATCTGTATCAGCACTACAATGACTAAATTCGACACCATTTCTATTCAAATATTTATATCCATAGTTTTCCATAAAAAAAAGAAACCACACAATGACAGTTTATTAATGAAATGTGGTCTACTTAGAATGTTGTGCTCACCTGATAAACTAAGACTCTATTAACTCGAGAAGACTCTGATTAGAGAGAAAGTAAGAACGTTTAAAACACTGAAAGTACATGAGACAAAGTTACACCTGTATTTTCTATAGTAAGACACTGATGTTCTATAGCAGCTGAAAAGAACTCAATCTGCTGTGTAATATCTCTAAATATATCTAACTCCACTGACTACCATCAAGATATTTAAGCACTTTTTAAAAAATGTTCATGTTCAGAGCACAAATTTGTTTATATTAATGATGATCAGTCTGAATCACTTCTATGTAACGTCAATATCAGGGTGTGTGTGTGTGTGTGTGTGTGTGTGTGTGAGAGAGAGAGAGAGAGAGAGAGAGAGTGAGCTCTGTAAACTCTCTCTGCTGATGTTCAGCTGAACACTCAACACATAGTACAGATATACATTGTCTTTACAACACAAACATTCTTCATCAACAATCAGTACATCACAATAAAAGCACTACACACTGAATTATACTCACTTCTCAGCTCACTTCTCAAGAAAAAATCCTATGAAGTGAATAATATAATGTGAAGATTTCATGCATAAAATTATCAGTAAAATATAACTTTAAAATATTAGGAAGGCTGGAAATTTAACAACAGTGAATCTGAAAAAACAGGCTTAAGATTTCATGCTTGAAGTTATGAATTACATATGAAAACTAAAAATAGCAACTTCACTGACAAAATCATAAAGACATCCTACAGATGGAAATGAAAGACTATAATAGTCTGTATTTATCTGGTAAATACATTCACCTAATGCCAGATTATACAGATATTTATTGACTTGAGTGCTGCTGTTTAAATACACAAATAAGGACAATCACTGAATGTACTTTAAATGTGTCAATCAGTTTCACAAGAATAGATAAATTTACATCAACACAATTTTTGCCTCAAGAAGTAAACTGAAGGACAGCAACGTGTTGATGTATCATTTTATTCATTTGCAAACAACTGACACATTTGAAGACAGCACTATTTTTTCAGTAATGAGACACTCTAATGATAATGATGTACTGATGATGAATGACTCAAATATTCCATCATCACATAAGAACAGTGACATCACTCCCAACAGAGCCAGACTGCTTTTATTTGTTGTGTCTTTTTCTCATCAGTGAACTTCACTGTCTCTACATTTCTGCAGTGCAGTGGGATTATGCACAGGAGAATTGTGGGAAGGAAGGAGGGAGATGAAGTCAAAAGCTTTCATTCTGAGATCAGAGACTTTGTTCATCATGTGAAATTTACCTGAAACTCAATATTATGTAGCTGCTTGATGTCTGTATTGAATGTAGTTCATGTGATAAGAGTAAAATCAGTCACTACCAGCAGAGAAAGAAGGAAAGTTATTTACTTACCGCTGATACTGTGGAATAAAAACAGAAGAAAACACAAAGTTAGTCAAATCTCCATGAGAAACACTTTACAATGAAAATATTTCAGTCTTTTTAACTCTTTATCTCCTTATCAGAATCTCCTTTTCTCATCCGTACTGTAGTTCTTCATCCTTCACTACTGAACTGTCACTCAATGCTTTCAATAACCTTTATTTATACAGCACTTCACGTACATAAATTCAGCTCAAAGTGCTCTACAGTACAAAGTAAAAACATCAGAGGAAGAGGAGAACTCCATTAAGTATTAGTATCTTATATCTTTACTCTTGTAAGCTTTATTTTTTTCATTTTTTCTGTGTGAGTAACCGATGGGTCTGTTGGTCGTTTAGTTAGTGTTTGCGTGGTTCCTTAGTGAAGATTTCCAGAAATATCTTGTTATTTAACAAACTTACTTAAAGATGTTAATGAAGTGATTTTGGGAAACGAACCCAGAATGATCAGCACAGTAAAAAAGCCTGACCTGCTGCTTGACGGCTCTGATTTGGGCTGTTTTCAGCTCTCAGTTCTCCACATAAACCTGAAAACGTGTTGATGGTGTTTGAGTATTAGGCTCTCCTGAAGCTCCGCCTCCTGACTGTTACAATAGAGATTCATCTTTTAGTCTTTCATTCAGTTTATTCATTAGTTTTCCTTCAGCTCATGATCCTCATTCATTCATGAAGCTTCAGAACACAAAACTTATTTTCTTATATTTACCATTTCTTAATGATTTATTTACTATGTTCCTTCATGATCTGTTCCTGATTGACACTATATTAGTTAATAATAGTAATTATATCAGTTCATCTTTTAGTTCATATATCAGTTAATCTTAGTTATTATATTAGTTAATCTGTCTGTTCATTCTGTAAATGTACTGTATCTGATTTTAACTGCTGCAGGAATAAAAACAATTTCTTCTCATGTTTGTTCATCAGTAATGAAGCACAACACATTATTCATTACTGATAATCCACTTGTTAAATATGGTGCCACGTGTAATGTAACAGTCATTTTTAGGTCAAAATCCTTCTTCAGATCAACAAACAACAATGGTTGAACCTGTGACTTCCTTCTTTAATGAGGCACCACTGAGGTTTCAAAAGGTCTAAAGAGGTGGTATATTCAAGTGTCGAGTCCAGAGATCCATGAAAAAGAGGATTTACGAAGCTGTGGAGAGTCAGAAGTTAGCAGTAAGCTAGCTAGCCAGTTGACATCTAAAGATGATATGCCATCTGGCTGAGGTATTTCTAAAAACCAAAGTACAGGACAGCTATAACTTTTGTATGTAAACGAAACTGAGAAACTAAACATGTAGCAGTTAAGATTCAAAATAAAATCAAAATAAAAGCATTACACACTGACTTATACTCACCATTCAGGTCTTCACTCATTGAATGCAGCTGTGAAGTGAATAATATAATGTGAAGATTTCATGTATGGAATCATAAGTGAATTATTACATTTAAATATAAGAAACTGAAAATGGAAGAAGAGTGAATGTGGATGATGTTGCACTGTTGTTTAGGGTTTCTTTTCTTTATGACTATCTCATGCAGACTTATGGTTTGATTTTTGTTTCAGTATTACATTTGCTACTGTAATTTTTGTCTGTGATCTGCCTACCTCTCTCTCTGTCTGTCCACCTCTCTCTCTCTCTCCCTAGCTTCCTGCAAGGCTGTATTATAATTAATTGACGATATGTATATGAATGTGTCTTTAGGGGTCTTTAAAAGAAGTCACTGTCGTTTGTAAAGAGCCTTCTGTTTTACACCTGAGATTCTGTTATTTCCTACTGAGATTAACTGGCTTATTTTTGACGCACATATTGTAAATAAATTAGCTTTTGTAAAACAAACAATTTGAGCAGAAAACAGTAATGAGGGCAGAAGTTTGTCTCTGTGATCCAACTAAAAATGTTAAGGAATCCATCCCTGTTTACTAAAATTAAATGGTTAAAATACTGTTTGTATAAGGTTTTTGTGAATATCTGGAGATGAATAATCACAGCTGGGGAAACACGTGTAGTACACTGTGTGATTGAGGGAAATTGGGAGAAAGTCTAAAATTCATGTAATAACTTTGATGAAATTAATTTATATAGAATCAATTTACAAAAAATATTAGTCATCTCTATATCAGTCTGTCTTTCACTCCTCCCTCTTCAATCTCTCATATCTTATCTGCCTTATTACAGACTGTAGAAGTGAATAAAACATCCTGAAGATTTCATGCTTGAAGCCACGAGTTACGCATAAAAAACTAAAAATAACAACTTCTCCCAAATCTCATCTTCAGGTTCTTTGACATCAGTTTAACTCTTTCCTGATCATCTAGTAAATCTCTGCTGAGAGACTCTGCAGACTGAATAAGAGAAGCTGATCATTCTTAAATGAAGTGAAATGGAAGTGAAGGAGATGAGAGGATCTCAGTAATCAAGTCTTTCAGAGCTGCTGACTCTTCATTATTTGCTGCTTGTTGTGAGTCACTGATATAGAGACTCATCAAACAGGCAGATAGTGTGTGTGAGTGTGTGTCAGAAGCTCCTGCTGTGTGTGTTCTGGGCTATTTTCAGTCATGGAGGAGAGGAAAACTACAGTAATGAGAGACACTCTAATGATAATGATGTACTGATGATGAACGACTCAAATATTCCATCATCACATAAGAACAGTGACATCACTCCCAACAGAGCCAGACTGCTTTTATTTGTTGTGTCTTTTTCTCATCAGTGAACTTCACTGTCTCTACATTTCTGCAGTGCAGTGGGATTATGCACAGGAGCATTGTGGGAAGGGAGACTTTGCTTATTGTGTGAATATTACAAGAAACTCCAGTTTTATGTAATTGGTTGCTTTATAGGGATACATTTATATTTAACAAGTACATAAAAACAACCATTCATCAGTAGAAGGATTGAATATATTTTTGAACTTACCCTTTCCTAAAATAACAGAAAGGTACATAATGTTAGAACATCATAAACAAATCTTCACATGATACACAATTCTGATACAAAATTACAGTTTAAAACACTCTGTAAAAAATTGTGTTTTCTTTGTCACCACATTTTAATCTATTCTATTTTCATCTGTACTGTAGTTTTTCCATCTATCACTACTGCACTGTCCCTCAATGCTTTCAATACAACTCCACGAAGATGTTTAGCTAAACAATTAAAGCTTAAACCTAAAGCAGGTACTCAACACGTCTTGCAGTACTATGTTGTAACTGAATGGTCGTTTGGACATGAATGTGTCTCTAAGTG